GCTTGAGGACGGTGGCGAGAGGGTGGCTGGCGCTTTAGGAAGCAGAGACTCGCAGCGCCCACCACCAGGGGGAGCAGTGGCTGCTGCCTTCCGGCGCTGTCACTGTCATACTGACAGGTGTCCGTTCAGACAGCTATTGCCCCAGCGTGCACACGAGGCCCAGATGGTTCATCTGGCAGCTAACGACCTCTCCGAACTGGTCGGGCTGCCTGCTCCTCCCTCCCTGAGAGTCCCATGCCTTCCCTAACCCAGCAACTGTATAGCACACCCCTCCCCGCTCCAGTCCAGGACCCGGGATGCCATCCTGCAGATCCAGGGACTCAGCACAACCCAAGAGGCCCTTCTGCCCTGGGGAGGAGGAAGGAGGAGGGCAGGGAGTCTGTGGGTCAGGTTAAGGATGGTGTCAAGGAACATTTAGGTGGTAGAAGCTGCCCACCACACACCACGAATGAGTCCTAGATTAAGACCTCCCACCTAAGTGGAAGAGACCCCAGACTGAGAGACCCCAGAGGGTCCCCCAGGCTGGGACATTTGGTGGAGACATTCCAGAGGGGATCCCACCTGGGGCACCCCCACAGTGAGAGACTCTAGGAGAGACCCCTGGACTGACACTCCTCAGAAGAACCCCAGGTTCAGGCCCACCTGGAGAAGCCCTCAGATTGGCAGACCCTCAGTGGGGTCCCCAGGCTGAGACCTCCCAGAGGGACTTTCAGTGAGACACTCTTGGAAGGGCCCCTCCATTGAGATACAAATGCCCCTGTTGAAACCAAAAGTACAGAGGCCTAGAAGGACCAGGGAGGGGCAATGGGAAGTTTGCTCTGATTTCTGAGTTTAGGAAAGGAAGGAGCCCAGGAGCTCTGGCTGTGGGCCCCACACGTCCTCCACCTGACCCGCACCAACTCCCTGTGCTACTTCCTTCCTCCTCCCCGGGAGGGAGGGCCACTTGGGCTGTGCTGAGTCCCTGGATCTGCGGGACGTCCGTCTTAGGCCCTGGATTGGGGGTGGGAGGAGGTTGCTGTACAGCTGCTGAGTTAGGGAAGGTGTGGGATTCTGAGGGAGGGAGGGAAGGAGGAGCAGGCAGCCAGACCAGTTCGGAGAGGTCCTTAGCTGCCAGATAACCCATCTGGGCCTGTGCGCTGGCTGAGGGGCACTGAAAGGAAGTCAGGACGCACTCAGTCTGTCCTCTCTCCCAGGGTGCCCTTCTCTGGGTCCTTGCTCCTGACCTGAGTCCTCATTCAACCCTCTGCCATCAGGACTGGAGCAGGCTGGGGTCTGGGATCTGTCAGGAGTGAGTGTCACCAAATTGGTCCTGGTGGGAGGAGTGTGTGTGTGTCTGTAAGCACGCATGGGTGTGCCACATCAGAGTACAGAGAGGCCCTGGGGACTCCTCTCAGCTCCCTCTGTGCCACAAGCCCTGCCCTGGTCAGCCTCTGATGCTCCTTCTTTCCTGGTTATTGACTCAGTTCCTCTGCCCCACAATTCCTCCAGGCCCTCCCCGGAGGTTCAGAGGTTCGACCCACAGTGTTTGCAAGCCCTCCCTCTCTGCCTTCCCAAACTCTCCTTCCCTCCCATTTGCCTGGACGCTGCCTGCTGGTCTGGGGCCAGGGGCATCCCAGCCCCAGCCCTCCACTATTCCCTCTTCACAGCAGGGGTAGAGCGGGCCCTTTGGAGCTTGGCTGGCCATGGAGGGTGGGGCCCACTCCTCCGGCTCTGCCGGGTGCTGCAATAGCAGGGGCGGTGTAGGGATGAGGCCCTGCCCCCTGCCTCCCCTCCCTTCCCCCAGGTATAAGAGCTGAGCTCAGGTGCGCTGACTCTTCCTGTCCTGTGTCAGTGGCTGCCAGCAGGTAAGGGGACCCAGGGCTTTTCACCCAAGTGGGCTGCCCCCTGTCCAGAGGGCACACTTAACCTGTCCTAACCTGGTCTACCAGGGGAATGGCTGGGGGACAAGATCCTGGAAGCTGGTGTGTCTGTGTCTGAAACAGGGGTGGGTGGGGGGGTGGAGGAGGTGGGAGGAATGAGGCTAAGGTAAGGCCCAAGGGATTCCCTCTATGTGGATTTGCCTGGGGGCTGTGACCTTAGTTCCTAGAACCTGGGCAGGGCTGGGGCCTTGTGGAGTTCTGCACGGAGCTCTGACCCCCTGGGTGAGACACAGAGTATCTGGGATGCAGCCAAAGGCGGCAGTTGAGAGAGAAATGCTGAGCCCACCCCTCCCCTTGTGCTCTCCACTCCTCCAGGCAGATCATGAGCCATCAGCTCCTCTGGGGCAGGCTGTAGGACAACACAGCTCTCACCAAGGGACCAGGTGCACCGGGCACCATGGGACAGTGTCGGTCAGCCAATGCTGAGGTGGGCCCATTCGTTCCTGGCCTTTCTGCTCCCACACTCCTCCACGCTGAGGATCTATGTCCCCATCGACTTCTGCCCCTCATGGCCTTGCTCTGCACTCCAGACCCTGCCTATGAAACCCGAATCCCCTCTGGGTGCCCACACAGGCTGATGCAGAGGAGCCCTCCCAGGAAGAGAATGGCTGGGCTGCTTGTTGGGACCTGCCCTGCCTGGGGGCTGGTGGGGAGGAAGCCTTGCTCAGTCTGTGGTTCTGGGTAGAGGCCAGTGGGGGCAACAGGAGCTGGTGCTGGCCTCTGGAGGTGGTGGGATTCCATGTGCTTCTAGCTGTCTGCTGCCCTGCAGGGCGTTGCCTGCCCCAGGGGAAGCAGGGTGTGGTAGGGTGGGTGGGGCCTCCCTGACGTGGGGTTGTCCTCTGCCCTCAGGATGCCCAGGAATTCAGTGACGTGGAGAGGGCCATTGAGACCCTCATCAAGAACTTCCACCAGTACTCCGTGGAGGGTGGGAAGGAGACGCTGACCCCCTCGGAGCTACAGGACCTGGTCACCCAGCAGCTGCCCCACCTTATGCCGGTACTGAGGGAGTGGACAGTGCCCCAGACTGTACCCTGACTTCCAAGCAAGTGCTCCAGGACCCCACTCCCACGGCCCCTGGCACTCGTAACCCCCAGCCCCTCCCCCTTGCGGTACCAGGCTCTGCTTCCTGCCCCTGGGCAGGGTGGGGTGAGAAGACTGGGAGGTGCTGCCTTGCTGAGATGTGTCTTCCCTTCCCTCAGAGCAACTGTGCGCTGGAAGAGAAAATTGCCAGCTTGGGCAGCTGTAACGACTCTAAACTGGAGTTTGGGAGTTTCTGGGAACTAATCGGAGAAGCAGCCAAGAGTGTGACCCTGGAGAGCCCCGTCCCGGGGAGCTGAGAACCTTCCCCTGAAATTCCTGGGGGGATGTTGGGGAATGGGGACCTTAGAGACTGTGGCCTGGAAATAAAACTCCCCTTTGCACCACCACCACATGATTCCCTAGTCCACACCTGCCTCACTTCTACAAAGTTCAGGTTCTCAGTGGCCCTTCCCCAGTGTCTGTGCAGTTCATTACAGGAGCTCCACGGAGCTAATGCGTCCAGGAATCCCCACCAGGGGGAGGCTAGGGGTGGGCTGGGGCCAGGGATGGATGTGAAGGGGTGGTGGAGGATGTAAGGGCCAAGTCATTTGGTAGCAGGGGGAGGGCAGAGAGGAGCTGGGCTGTGGGAAATGATTTGAGGGAGGGGGCTGGGAATAGGCTGGATATTTGGCACTTAAATGGGTCTCTAAGAACCTACGCCTGCTAATCTCCCCAACCCACACTGGCTGTCTGTCCAGTCCTGAGCCTTCCTGCCTCCAGCTCTGCCCACCCTCGTCCCAGGACTGTATCCCTGGGCTAGGGTAGGGGAGAGAGAGCAGGCTTGGTGGAGGTGAAGGAGGGTGTGATTTTGGGAGTGAGAGGAGCAGCTGGGTGCTTGGGCATTAACAGAATGACGGTTGTTTTGTATTATTTGATTAATAAAAAAATGGAAAATGTGAAAGATGTTGTCTTGACTGGATACCACCCTGCCTTCCCCTTGTTCATGGGTGAGGGGGATCAGGGTGAATGGCAAAGTCATTGGGTGGCATGGGACAAGGGCTTTGGCGGGTGGCAGTGGAAGTGAATGGGGCTCACTTTCTCCATGGTCTTGTGGTGAGGATGGTACCAGGCCCAAAGGTGGGAGATCTGGGCCCCTCTGAGGGACAGGCTCCTCCCAGCCAGTGGGCTGACCCTGTGACAGGAGAGGAGGGCACCTGTACACACCTCAGGAAAAGGCTACGACCCCAGGTATGCTGGAGCCTAGCTGATCAGTAGCAGGGGACAGTGAGGCTAAGAAACGGGGCGACCAATCTGGGTTTGAATCCCAGCTCTGCCAGTTATTATCTTTGGAATTTTGAACATGCTCACCGAGTATGCATTTCTTTATCTGTAAAGTGAGAATATTAATAGGATTAATATCACAGGCTTGTTAGGAGAATAAGCGGCCGTAGCAGAGAGCTTGATGTCCATGAGTGCCCAATGCGCTGAAGTCAGGACTGCGGAGTGGGTGAATGGGTCCCCTTCGGGTTTCAAACATTGCTGGGGGCTATCAGGTGAGACAGTTTATTTGCATACCTTGGGGAAGTGGTGGAGGGGTGTTTCCAGAGGAATTCTCTGCTGCCTCTGAGGTCCTAGGATTGGGTGTCTGGAGAGTTCCTGGTGGGCTGAACTGGAGATGGAAGACAAGGGGCCAGACTCTGGTCCCCAGTATTTGCTGTCTGCCTTGAGCCCGCAGAAATCAGGCATTAGGCCTGAAATCCCAATAGCCTGGAAGCTTTTTGGCCAGCCTAGAATGCTAACAGCCTGTCTGTTGACGGCCCCTGAAACTGGGCTCCCAGTGACCCAGGTGAGAAAGGCAGGTGACAGTCGTCTGCCTTTCTCCACCTTGTAGGTTCTGCTCAGGCCGGTGGGGCTAGGAGGGTGGGCTTGAGGGAGTGCCAGCCTCTGCCACTCCCTCTGGGGTGGGGGTGGAGGGGTGTTAAAAAAAGGTGTGTATCTCTTTAACAAGGGCCCAGCCCCAGGGCCAAGTCTAGAGGGAGGCCAGTTGCTACCTCCCCACTGAGCCAGCTCAGCCAGGCAGGGCCGGGAGGGAGTGGGACAGATTCTGGGAGTGCAGCGGGGAGGAGTCCTGGCCAGCGAGCGGGAGCTGCTGGGCTGTGCCAGAGCGCAGGTCCTAGAGCCCTGCTGGAGAGGAGGAGGATCAAGGAGGCAGGTGAGCACCCCAAGCCTGTCCTGGGCGGTCTGGGGCTGCCGGCGAGGCCCTGCAGGCTTGGGAGGCCCTGAGAAGGGGCACTGGAGGTGGCCTGGGGTGGGGGGGCCTGCCAGAGACTGGGTCGAAGGTTTCATTAATTGTTAACTTGCCCAAAAGGTCAGTTTGGGAGTGGAGAGTTCTGGTGGGGATGGGGTCTGGAGAGGCCTTCAGAGGAGTGGACAGGGTGGTGAGACCCCCTCCTCAGCCCAGCAGCTGACTGGGCTCCTCTCCAGGGCCTGGGCCACCAGGCAGTGTTGGGGAGCTTTGCCCGCAGCTGCTCCGCGCCTCACCTAACAGCAGAAGGGCAAACGCATGTTGGTGGGGGTTGGGGGATGGCCAGAGCCTGGGTTTAGGCCTCACTGGGCTCTGGGAGCAGCATTCTGAAGAGGTGTTGGGGTCCAGGGGGAGCCAGGAAGGACCCAGGAAGCCTGAGAGCCTGAGGAGAGGAGGCAGGCTTCTCCCCACCTCAGGCAGGTCCCTGGATGCAGGCGCCATTGTGCTCCGGGCACTGTTCCTTGGGGTGATAATGGGATCTGGGAGAAACCTGGGTGAGGCCCAGGGAGCCTGGAGCTCTGGGAGAGGGGCCGGAAGCTCGGCAGCTTCTTCTCCACCTTGGGATCCAGGCAGGTTCTGGCTTGACTGGCTTTGCTTGGTTGGAGCCGCCTGCGCCCTAGGAGCAGTCCCTGCCCAGCCCTGGGGGTGGGGGTGAGGGCAGGGGTGCTGAGGGCAGGCGTGCTGGGAGAGGGGACAAGCGGGTGCTGGCAAGTAGGATTCAACTTTAACTGCGACAGAAGGAGCTCTCCGGGCATCCGTGAGGCCAGGTGCCGCTGTGTGTGTGTCCGGATGTCCACAATTATTCTTCCAACTTCACTTGTCTGGAAAAATCTCAGAGAAGCAGGCTTCTTTCTCCAGCTGCATGACCTGAAAATACGAGTGAGTGGACGCCAGTGGTCACCCAGGCAGAGGGGATCCGGGGTGGCAGAATTCCTTGCTCTGTGTGTACATATGTGTGAATTAGGTGCGGTGAGTCCTACTAGTGTGGGGAGGGACAAGGCAGGGGCATTTGTGTGCGAGATTAGCTTCTGGAACTGGGGTCAGGGCAGGAGAGGGAGCCGGGAAGGGAGCAGGGAAGGGGTTTGCTGAGGCTGGAGAATTAATGCGAGTCAGTCTTGCAAATAGACAGAGGTACCAGCCCAGTTCAGACTGCACCCTCCCTGTAGCTGAAGGCAGTTGGAGCAAATGGGTGAATTAAGAAGAATATGAATGAATGGGTGAGAGAAGCAATGAATGAATGAATGAGAGAGAGAGAGCAAATAAATGAGCCACCGAATATGCAAGTGAATGGTGAATGAGTGAATTTGAGGTAGGTGGAAGGACCCAGAGAATACCAAATGTAGGCCTGAGAGCTGGCTAGGCTCTAGGAGGGATAGAAGTTCAAGACATACCCAAGGCCTAGAAGCCATTTAAAACCCAATAGGTGCGTGGAGGTGGGAAGAGGAGGTGAATTTGGAAGGTGTGGTGGATGTTCAGACCTCCAGACTGAAGGGGATTAGGGAGTGGAAGCGGGGTAGGCAGGTGGTCCGGAGGCACTTGGAGAGGCGGGGCCACAAGCTGGGGGTGGGAGGGTGGGGCTGGAGCGGCTGGGACCCAGGGGCTTAGTGTTGGAGCTGTATGCGCTTTTGGAGGAGTCAGCAAGCTGGGCTGAGGTGGGTGGGGGACTATTGGTCGCTCAGCAATCAATCAGCCAAGGAGAAGACAATGGGAACGGGGGGAGGGCTGGGGGCTCCAGGTGCGAGGGCCCTTTGAAGGACAGGTGGTCCCCCCATTCCCACTTTTTGGGAAGACTCTAATGTACGTGACTACCTGTCACCAACTTTCAGGCTGGGATCTACCCGCTTCCTGCCCAGCCTTCCCAGGAAGGGGCCAATGGGACAGCATGCCGCTCCCCCAAGCCCCGGGCCTGAGGATCCCTCCTGGGCCTGGGCCTGGTAGGTGGGAGCGCGGGGGGGGGGGGCCCCCCCGCAGCAGCAGCAGGTGACTGTGAGATGGGAGTGGTGGCAGAGCCTGTCTCCTGGCCCCCAGGGGAAGGCGTGGAAGAGAGTAATGCCACCTGACGGTCTGCTCTGACATCCTCCTCCAGAACAAGCTTCAGAAAGGCCTTCCCCAGATGGTTATCTCCAGCATTATCCATTTGACTAGAAGAGGGTGGGGGGTGGCGATTGGGAGGCCTGGGAGCTGCTGAAGCTACCCCCTAACAGCAGTGGCTGGTTGTCGCCTGGGCGCTCACCTGTGTCTGGCCTGCTTGGTTGCGGGAGGCCAGGTAGGGGTGGGACCATGGTGTTGAGGAAGGGCAGTAGGAGGCTCCTGGGGATAGAGAGACAAGACTCCCGGAAGGCAGGTGCTGGGAGGGGGAGGGGGTCCGGGACAGGGGCAGGGGCACCCCCAAAACCCATTTCCTTCCCTTTCCTCTCACGGACTGTCTCACAGGATTCCTTACTTGGGGAACAAGGTCTGGGATGGTTAAGGGTGGGGTTTCTCTAACTCTTCCCACTCCCAAAGCTTCATCAGGAGTAGTTTTGGCACAATCTTTGCTGAAGTGGGTACAGCTTTTAGAATCTCCAGGAAAGATGGTCATGGCCTTGGGCCACTCCCCACCCAGGGGCAGCAGGGAAGATAGTTCACAGTCTGAAATTCTTCCCCCACCCGGCTCATTGTGAATGTTAGTGTGTTTAAGGAAGTTTTCCAAAAGTATAAACACTGAACCACACAGTTGCACACTTAATAAAGAGTATGGAAAAACACTAAAGAGTATGGAAGAAATGGTTTTCTGCAGTCCTGGTTCCATACTTCAACCTCCTGGCCACAGACCAGCGGTGGTCAGGCAGGAGGCAGGGGAGGGAAGGCAGGTTCTTGGGCAGAGATGCCCCAGGCTGTCCCCCCACCACCCGTCCCTCTCAACCCTCCTCCCTTCCCGCATCCTGGCCTAGTCCTTCTAGGTCTCATCCTTCCTTCAGAAAAAGCTTCATAAAAGAAAACCTCAGAAGGATGGGCAGGAGCTTTGTATACCTGGTATCAAGGCTGGAAGGAGGTGGACTATTTACAGAGCGTCCCTTGAGCAAGATACTGGGCCAGGCAATGTGGGCAAGGGGAGATTCAGAGATTAAAAGCGGGGAGCTTGTGTTAGCTAGGATTTTAGAAAATGGTCCCAAAGTTTACAAGTTTTACTGTTTGGTTGAGAAAACACATTGGCTGCATGCAAGAAACACTATCCTTGCCTCAAGGAATGTCTGGTGTCCCGCCCGAAATCCAGGAAGAGACTGTGGCCACACCAGTTAGTGGGTCCCAGTGAGTGCCAGGGGAGGAGGGTGTAGAGGGCAGGGGTCAGGGCAGGCTTCCTGTAGGAGGCAGGGCAGGTTTGGGCAGGCTTCAGCTAGGTGCAGAGGGCAGGACAATGGGCATGGAGGAGGGACAGCAGTGAGGGAGATTAGAAAGCAGGTGGCTGGGCAGAGGCTGCGGTGAGGCCTGGCCAAGCTGACCTCTCTTCCAAATCGGATGCCTATGCCCAGATGGGGGCTGTGTCCTCCTTCCCTCGACTGTACCCAGTGGGCAGGGTTGCTGCAGCTCATTCCTGGGTTTGGGGGCGGGAGGGGAGGCTCCTGTGCCCGGGTTCACTTGGGGGGGCTCTGGGCATGGGCGGCGACTCGCAGAGTAGATCCGCCTGCTCCCCTCATATCCTGTTACTGGGAGGGCTGTATCCGCTTGGAATGTGAGTGCCTTTGTCCTGGGGAGAGGGGGTGCTGTGAATGGCCTTGGCAGCTCCCGTCTGCAGCTGGGACAGAGAGGGCCTGGCTCCTCCTTAGGTAATGGGGTCCTTGGGTGCTGTTGAATGTTTTGGGGTGGGTATGAGGGGGGACAGGCTAGCCAGGTGTGGGGTCTGACTTGATGGATCAGGACGTTGTCCTTTTTCAGAGAGGGGCAGCCATGCCCCGAGACCCAGGGCTCACCGTCCTAGTGCCCGGCTGAAGGGCCCGGGAGGGCCCAGGACGTGCCTCCTGCTTTGTTGACTGGGTCTGGGTCTCAGCCAGTCCTGGAGGTCAGGGATAATGGCTTCTGTGCCCCCAGCCCCTTTGGCCCATTCTAGCAGTTCTCGCTGCATGTGGCCCTTGGGCCAGGGCCCTGGGTGGGCCGGGTGTGGAGAGGCAGAGGGATGGGCACTTGCCTCCTCCTCCTCGCCTTCCCACGGAGCCTCCTGCCCTGCTGGGGCTCTGACAAGCCCAGCGCCTGGGGCTGGGGAAGGGCCTGGAGAACCTGCTGGGGCGGTTGGGCTGGGGAGCACCCGGATTAGAGGAGCCACATAGTCCTCCTTCCAGGCCCACCCCCACAGCCCCCTTTCCTTGCCTTCTCCTTGGGACCAGCCAGCCTGGGGACCTCAGGGACCAGGGTGGGTCCAGGGGAGGAGGACAAGGGCAGGGAGGTTTGGCCTCATCTCCCCTCCCTGTGGTGCCCAGGCCCCGAGAGGAGTGAGGCGGTGAGATGGCGGACTGCTACACGGAGCTGGAGAAGGCGGTCGTGGTCCTGGTGGAAAACTTCTACAAATATGTGTCTAAGCACAGCCTGGTCAAGAACAAGATCAGCAAGAGCAGCTTCCGGAAGATGCTCCAGAAAGAGCTCAACCACATGCTGACGGTGAGGCTCCCACCCAAGGGCCTCCCTCCCCGCAGCCCCCAAAGCCCTTGTCCTCTCAGGGTGTCCTTCCCCACTGCGGCCTCGGTCCTCTCGGAGTTACCCCCAGAACCAGGGTCTCAGCCCCGCCCAGGCCTCGGTCCTCCAGGGCCACCAAGCCTGAGCCAGCCCAGGGCTCTGCATTTTCAAGGGCAGCAGATCCTAGGTCTTTAAGAAGGGTCCTGCTGGGGGGCTTTGGGGGCTGCCCCCCTCAGCACAGCTGACCCCTGATTCCTCTCAGGACACGGGTAACCGGAAGGCTGCTGACAAGCTCATTCAGAACCTGGATGCCAACCACGATGGGCGCATCAGCTTTGACGAGTACTGGACCTTGATAGGGGGCATCACCAGCCCCATTGCCAACCTTATCCGCCAACAGGAGCAGCAGAGCAGCAGCTAGAGGACCCCTCTCACCGTCCCTGCTCGGCCCCGCCCCAATGCCCAGCTCCAGATGTCTTCCCAGGCCCCCTCTTCAGCCTCCTCTGTCCACCCAGGCTCGTCTGCACATCTCCCCCAGACCCTCTCCTGACCCTTGCCGAGCAGGAGAAGGGGTAGGCTCAGGGCCCCTTTGTGAGTGTCTCAGTCTGGGGGTGCCTCTCTGAGGGTCTCAGTCCCTGGAGCCAGCAGGCCCTGGGGGCCCCTCAGTGAGATCTCAGTGCTGTTTGGGGACCCCAGTGGTTTTCCCACCTGCTCAGTCCATCAAACCTTCCAATGTCTGATGTTCCTGCGTGATTCCAGGTCTCTCCTGACCTCTGGAGGCCACCTTGCTGCTTGAGTTCACCCTGCTCATGGCCCCAGGAGCTGAGACCTCTCCCCGTTCCCTCAGCCCCTCTGCTGGGTAGAGAAGACTTGCAGGGGCTCCCCTCCAGCTGCCTCTGGGTCTGGGAACCACTAAGCAGGATGGAGCCACACCCCTCCTGCTCAGGCCCCTGAAATAAAGGCTGGAATCGAGTTTGTATCTCCCTCCCCCAATCCCTCTGTGCTGCTCATTAAAACCTTTCCAGTCCTTGGAAGCTCCTCCTGCCGTGGGTGATCTTTACCCTGAAGGGGGAACCTTACTGAGAAACCCCAGGGAGGGAGCAAGAGGTCCGAACTCCTGGATCCCAGCAGATGTGTCAACCCTGGGCCAGCAGCAGCAGGCCATGTGTCCCCCCGGGTCCCTCCTAGGCCAGACTCAGATTCACACTCAGCTTCCAGGCACACACGGTGTCCCACTGTGTCCTCACTGCAATCCTGTAAGAGGGGCCGTGACCGTCAGTCTTGAGTCTTGAGGAGCAGTAAGATCCTGAGTCCTCATCAACAGATCATTCTAATATTGTGGGGTGGCAAAGTAGGGTTGCAGGAAACGAGGGGGGTGGAAGGTCAGAGGTGACCTGGGAGGGGAAAAGGAAATGTCAACTTGTAGCTGCCTGAGGGAACAATACCTGCTTCTCTGTTTCCCTCCCTGTTCTTTCCCTGAGAGAGCCCCTGCCCTGGAGAGACAACACTTGCCCCATGAGAAGGCAGAGAACCATCAGGAAGTCCTGCAGGGCTCACGACTGTGGTTTCAACCTGGGGCAGGTACCCCAAGGTTTAAGATTTTTGAGAAGATGCACAGCACAGACAGTTTTATTGGAATTCATTTACAGATCCTCCCCTTTCTAGAGCTGATCTGCCCCAGACAGGCCTGCAGCCAAGCGGCTTGCTGGTCTCCTTTCCCACCTCCCTTCATAGTAATCCACCCACTACCCTGGTAAAAATGGAAGGCGTGGCCTTTACCTGTCTTGGGGTTCCTATGCTGCCTTGACTGAATGGTAAAGAACTAAGGGACATTTTTGTGGGGAAGGTTTATGTATATATACTTTATTATGGTAAAAACCACATAAATGTATCCTCTTCATAAATTTTAAGTGTTTGTTACAGTAGTGTTAATTATATGCCCTTTGGTGCACAGTAGAACTCTAGAACTTCTGCATTTTTGCATGACTGAAACTCTTTACCTTTTAAACAACAGCCCCCCCATTTCCCCCTCCCCTCAGCCCCTGCCAGCTAACATTCTACTTTCTATGAGTTTGATTACTTATTTAACTTTATCTGTAAATGGAATCATGCAATATTTGTCTTTTTGTGATTGGCTTTTATCACTTAGGATATAGGTTCATCCAGGTTATTGCATATGATTTCCTTTTTAAAGGCTGCACAATATTCCATTGCACGTATATTCCACATTTTCTCTATCATTCATCAGTTCATGGACATTTAGGTTGCTCTACATCTTGGCAATGCTGCAGTCAACATGGGTGTGCTAATATCTCTTCAAGATCCTGTTTTCAGTTCTTTTGGGGATATACCCAGAAGTGGGATTGCTGGGTCATATGGTAGTTCTATTTAAAAGTTTTTGAGGAACCACCATACTGTTTTCCATAGCAGCTACACCATTTTACACTGCCACCAACAGTGCACAAGGGTCCCAGTTTCTCCACATTCTTGTCAACACTCTTTATTGTCTGTTTTTTGATAGTGGCCATCCTAATGAGTGTGAGATGATATCTCATAATTTTGATTTTCATTTCCCTGATGATTAGTGATATTGTGCATTGCTTTGTATACTAGTTGATCATTGAATATCTGTTTTGGAGAAATATCTATTCAAATTCTTTGCCCATTTTTAAACTGGGTTATTTGGGTTTTTGTTGTTGTTGTCGTTGTTATTGAATTGTAGGAGTTCTTTCTATATTCTCTATATTAATCCCTCATCTGATATATGTTTTGCAAATATTTTCTCCCAGTCCATAGGTTGCCTTTTCTCTTTGCCGATTGTTTCCTTCACTCCACAGAAGTTTTTATGTTTGAAGTAGTTGCATTTGTCTATTTTTGCTTTTATTACCCGCTTGTGGTATCATATCCAAGAAATCATTGCCATTACAATGTCATGAAGATTTCCTTCTATGTTCTCTTCTATGTTTTATAGTTTCAGGTCTTATGTTTAGGTTTTTAATCCATTTTGAATTAATTTTTGTATACAATATAAGGTAAAGGTCCAATTTCATTCTTTTGCATGTGGATATCCAGTTTTCCCAGCACCATTTGTTGAAGAGACTATCTTTTACCCATTGTCTACTCCTGGCACCCTGTTGAAAACCATTTGACCATGTGTGTGAAGGTTTATTTCTGGGCCTCTCATTGTGTTCCTTTGGGCTATATGTCTGTCTTTATGATAATGCCACACTGTTTTGATTACTGTAGCTTTATAATATGTTTTGAATCTAGGAAGTGTGAGCCTCCAGCTTTGTTATTTTTTCTTTATAGTTTTGACTAGCTGGGATCCTTTGAGATGCCATGTGATTTTTAGGAGAGTTTTTCTATTTCTGCAAAAGATGCAATTTTGCTGAATTTGTTTATTAGTTCAAATAGTTCCTTTGTGGAATCTTTAGGATTTTGTACATATAAGATCATGTCCTCTGGGAACAGATAATTTTACTTCTTCCTTTCTCATTTGGATGTCTTTTATTTCTCTTCACAGATTAATTGCTCTGGCTATGACTTCCAATACTTCCAATACTATGTTGAATAGAAGTGGTGAGAGTATATTCTTCTCTTGTTCCTGATCTTAGAGGAAAAGCTCTCAGTTTTTCACTGTTGGGTATGATGTTAGCTGTAGGTTTTCTATATATGACCTTTATTATATTGAGGTAGTTACCATCTGTTCCTAGTTCTTTGAGTGTTTTTATCATGAAAAGGTATTGAATTTTGTCAAAAGTTTTTTCTGTATCAGTTTATATTATCATGTGTTTTTCCCTTCATTCTGTTAATGAGTGTATTATATGATTGATTTTTGTATGTTGAACTATCCTTTGTATGATGAATTTATCCTGTTGATAAATCCCACCTGATCATGGTATATAACCCTTTTAATGTGCTGTTGAATTCAGTTTGCTAGTATTTTGTTGAGTATGCCAAAATCAGTATTCATCAGGCATATTGGTATATAGTTTTCTTTTTTTCTAGTGTCTTTGTCTGGCTTTGGAATGAGAATAATCCTGGCCTTATAAAATGAGTTTGGAAGTGTTCTTTCCTCTTCCGTTTTTTGGAATAATTTGAGAAGGATTGTCATTTTCTTTAAATGGTGGAATTCTCCAGTGAAGCCATCTCATCCTGGCCTTTTCTTCTTGGGAGATTTTTGATTACTGATTCAGTCTCTTTACTATTTATAGGTCTGTTCATATTTTCTAATTCTTCATGATTCAGTCTTAGAAGGTTGTATGTTTCTAGGAATTTATTCATGTTTTCTAGGTTATCCAATTTGTTAGCACATAATCATTCACAGTAGTGTCATGATCCTTTCTGTCATATGTTTTTTTTTTTTTTTTTTTTTTAGGAGAGCCAGGGAGAGGTTTTTATTTATAAATAAAGTGGGAGGAAAGAGCTCCTGACTCACGCCAGGAGGGGACAAGGGAGCCCCTCATATCAGTTTTTGATGTGTCCTCTTTCATTTCTGATTTTAGTAATTTGAGATTTGAGTTTTCTTTTTTTGTAGTTTAGTATAGATAAAGATTTGTCAATCTTGTTGATTTTTAAAGAAACTGTTAATTTCATTGATTTTTCTATTGCTTTTATTCTCTATTTCTGTTCTGATATTTATTAATTCCTTCCTTCTACTAATTTTAAATGGATAATGGAAGGTATCAAACCATTGTGATGTTTAGATTTCATTGAACACACATTTAAAACCACCTTAATGGTTTTACTTAAAGGTGTCATAATATCTAAAACATTTCAGAAAGTATGCACTTCAAAATTTTTCTAATTTTTCTAATTCCTTGAGGAATTAAGTTAGGTTGAGGTTCTTTCTTCCTCTTTTTATTTTATTTTGGAATTATGACTTTATTTCTTTTAGAGCAGTTTTAGGTTCACAGCAAAATTGAAGGGAAGATACAGATTTCCCACGTACTCTCTGCCCCCACACATGCATAGCCATCCCCATCATAAACATCTTCCATCAGAGTGATACTTGTGTTAAACCTGATGAACCTACATTACATATCATAATCACCCAAAGTCTGTAATTCACATTCCTGTTCACCCTTGTTGCTGTACATTCCATGGGTTTGGACAAATGTGTAATGACATTTATCTACCATGATAATATGATAGAGTATTTTAACTGCCCTAAAACTCTTTTTTCTTCTTTTTTGATGTAGATGTTCACTGCTATAAATTTCCCTATTGGTACTGCTTTTGCTGCATCCCACAAGTTTTGGTATACCATGTTTTCATTTTCATTTGTCTTGAGATATTTCTAATTTCCCTTGCGATTTCTTCTTTGACTCATTTGTTGTTCAAGAGTGTTGTTTGATTTCCACATAGCTGTGAATTTTCCAGTTTTCCTACTGCTATTGATTTCTAGCTTCATTCCATTGTAATTGGAAAAGATACTTGGTATGATTCCAATCTTCTTAAATTTGTTAAGAGCTGTTTTTGACCCAGTATGTGATCTCTCCTGAAAAATGTTCCATGTGTGCTTGAGAAGAAGGTGTATTCTGCTGTTGGAATGTTCTGTGCATTTCTGTTGGGTTCCCCTGGAGTTCAGTGTTGTCCAAGTCCTCTGTCTATGTTTCCTTATTGATCTTCTGTCTGATTGTTTCAATATATATTTTTTAAATGGATGACGGAAGGTATCAAACCATTGTGATGTTTAGATTTCATTGAACACACATTTAAAACCTCCTTAGTGGTTTTACTTAAAGGTGTCATAATATCTAAAACACTTCAGAAATTATGCACTTTGCAATGATTTAAACTTATGCCGAAAAATCTTAGCTGTCAGCTTAAAATACAGGCAAGGTAGTACATAGGTTTTTTTCAAAATTCCTTTAGGAGCGCAGAAGTGAACCCTATGAAGACAGACCTCTGCTTTGGGGAGCAGCAGAGTCATCAGGGATGTAGGATGGGTGCTGCCTGGGAAAGCTTTGGAGGAGGAATGTGCTGAATTGGAATATGAGCAGGAAAGGGGCAGATCTAGGGGGAGGACAAGGGGC